TGTTCTTAAATAGCCTCCAGGCAGATCTCTATGGTTTTTAAGTACTTCTCTTTGCCCTTCAGCCTGCTGTTAACCATTTTCCTCATAGTTTTATAATCTGCCCTTTTAAAGTTCTTTGTTACTGTGCTGTCCCTAAGGGAACAACTCTTTCATGATATCAAAACTAAAAGTGTGCAGTGATCAGCGTTACCCCACAGAGGTTTGACAACACCTTCCTCTAATAACTTCTGCCTCTTACAAGGTAGTTCCCTCTTGCCCATGGCCTTAACTAATCAGGCATTGCACTGTGGATGGCCACAAGAGTCAAGGAAAAGGAATCCTTTGCCATATGGGTTGGAATGGCACCAAAGCCACTTTACATCTCCTGATAAGAGGAAAAAACCTGCTTTTGCCAGCTGTTGCTTTACCTCCAACAAAAATAAGAAGTGATAATGGGGTAAACACTATAGAATTCAATCTTGTATTATTTTCCTGACTGGTCCCATTCATTTTCCCCGGGAGGAAGTTACTTTCCAGGGGCTGGTTCTGAGATTTTACAGGTTCTCAAAATCTTGAGGAAGCCTGCAGGAGATTGCAGTCACTCATGTGTGCTGTGTCTCCAGTGGTTTTAATGGCTACCATTGTGACTGCTGCCTGCGGAATGCTCTCAGGGAAGTGGGGCAGAAGGGGAGGTCTACGACATGAAAAATGTCTCTGCAGACTAATATCTTGCTCTAGGAATGGGAACAAAGGGATGATACTGAGGAGGCAGCTGATACACCAGCCTTTCTGTTTGCTGAATGCACAAAGGATTGATTTATGGCATCTTGCCACAGGAGAGGCCTATAGGTTATTAACCAACTTCAATGGACAAACACTTGCTGAGACTGCATATCATTCCTCTTGTGCTGTACAAAAGGTAATGACTCATCTTCAGGCATGCCTGATGTCCTTGAGAATGCAATTGGCTCTGCACAGCCAAGTGAAGCATTACTTAGTTAATACACTACAGCAGAAGGGAAACAATCAGCTGAAACGATGACATTGCTACTTCCTGCTTCATTATAAATCTGCAGCTTCCTAACAGGATTATATACTGAAGCACTGCAAAAAAGGACGTTAAGTCATGTGATAAAACTTAAAAAATGTGTAATTAAAACAGTTAAATACAGGCTTCTTGTGCTCAGTGTCTACAAAACACAATCTTTGATCCTCCAAATGATATTTCTTGGAAAAGCGCTGGACTCAAAAACTATAAGAATAGAATTCTGACTCATCCCTTCCTCTTTAAGCCAATTAAATGTACACTTGCAGTATAACAAATTTCATTTTATTTCAGACTAGAAATACAACCAAAGGTATGAACTCCAAGGCCACTTGCCCCCATGTGTGTTTTCTTGGTCATTCTGTCCCCTGTTCTTCCAGTTCTATCTCAAAATGCAGTATTCTTGATGATTCACCTTGATTCCTATTATTTGGAGAAAGATCTTGTTTCTTCAAAAGAAATGAAGGTAACAGAGCATCTCACCTTTCCTAATGACATCCAAGCACCTCTGCAGTGTAAAAAGCCTCCACTATAAGCATCTATTGCTGCAATGCTACAGTTCACCAGGTTTGTTCCAGCTTACTGCTCAGCTAACACCATCAATAAATGTTTTAGTATTAATGAACCACGAAATTTCAAGTATTTTACTAATAAAAACTGTACAAGGTTGCTATATTAGGTAATGGGCCACATCTGACCAAGATTCCCATAATAGGCAACAAGCCTCAGCTACTCTCACCTTGCTCCTTCAGCACTTCCCTCACACTTAGCTGGGCAAGCCCCATGAGAAAATAAATACATATACCTTCACCTCTGTGGCAGGGGAAAAGGACTGTGGATGGAGGGAGGGAAGAACAAGAGAGAAGGAAAACCCAGGAAAATTGTCCTTTCCAGTCCTAGCCTCACGTTCCACGTACTTACTTTGGTTTCCCCTTTATTACAAAGTTCTTGTGATTATTAATTTTTCCATGATCCATTGCTTAAGGAAGTGATTGCTTAAGCCAGTTCCACATTTCTTTCCTAAATGAAAGAGTAATTGTTCTCTTTAGTCACAGGTTTCACGGGGAGTTGATGGCGTGTGTGATTTTCCTGGTGCGTCATGTTAAGAACACTGAATTTTTACATGACTACCTGACTAAAATGCTTTTGTGCATCACTCACACGTCTTAATAAATATATCCAATCAGTTATTGTTAGGTGAGCTGGGAGTAATATACAATGAACACAACGAACACAAAGGTCTCCTCCTGGTCAGAGCACTACAGTCGTAGTTGGAATAAAGGAAACAAATTGGGTTTCTGTATCCACCTTTCTTTCCCCTGCTGTGTTGCCTGAAGAACAACATACCTTCCATTATATTACTCTCAAGCAAACCCAATTAATTTATTTGCATTCCAAACATCTGTCATGAAGTTGCAGGGCAAGACGCATGATTAAACAAAAGTATTGCACCCAATATTTTGAGATAATCCTCTTTTTACTGGACTCCAGTCTCCCACATCTTTCTCTAAAAATGCTAATTTTTGTTTAAATGCAATTACTAATAAGATTCAAACAACATCTTATTTTGAACGTGCCAAATTAGCTGCATATTTGTGAGGTCCTCTATAATTTTAAGGCAAATCCAAATTCCCTCTGATCCTTGGCAAGCATTTATAGCCATGTCTCCTAAACTGCCTCACAGCTAAAGTGAAGAGCTTCCAGGCTGTGCAAGAAGAATGTAAGCAAGTACATTTCTGTGCTGACGAAAAGAGCCAGAAAAGTTTAAGTAAGCAGTCAATGGTTAATTCATTCGTTCAGATGACTGTCATCAAGTGAGAGTATTTACTCAGTTGTTGAAATACGCCCAGATATTCCTTTGGTATGCTGGAATGCTACAAGACTTCTCATGGGTGTAATCTATATATATATTTAATAGATTCAAACAAGTTTAAAGTATACAAAATAAATGGAAATATGAACTCCTGGGAACCTTTGGTTCTGTACTTCTTCTTCCTAAGTTTGCTCTTCTTTTTTATATATGCAGAATACAGACAAATTATGTGTTTACAAAAGTAACGTCCTCATGGGAATAGTCAGGTTGTCACCCTGCACCTCTTTGGCAATTCTAATATGAGACCAGTGCTACAAGAAGATTTTAATATCCATTTATAGGACAACGCAGAAAGAATCACCCTGCAGAATTTACCTCCTCAGGAGTCTTTCTGCTGTGCCTTTTGCAACCAGTCATGCCTGTCTCATATTGGCCTTTTTAGCCACCAGCGTGCCTGTAACAAACGTGGGTAGAGCCCTTCCCAAATCTTCATTTGTGAAGCCCAGCCATGACTGACAGGTCTGGCTTCAATGTTCTGAAAGGACAACAGATCTATTCATTTTCAAAATAAGGGTAACAGGCACTCACACAAATACTGTGAAACAGTATGCAGATTTGTATCTGATATTATGCTGCAGTAAGCTGGTATGTACAGAGACAGGTAGCAGTTACAGGAGGCTTTAATGTCACGTGACAAAAAAAATCTCATCTTATGTACTGAAATTTTTATTAAAATATCTTTGGACCACTTAAAAGAAAACATAATTTATTGTTTAATACCAGACGAACAAACAAAAATCAGCTGTTTCACACAGCAACTTGAGATTTGCTCCTCAGTGAAGCTTTACAGGCCAAATAATTTCAAATGTCCTGTCACACAGCAGAAGAACTGGTTTCATAACCCTGTAACAGCAGTAATCTCAGTTCTTGCTTATATATGGTTACAGAACACACCATACTTCCAAATAATTTCGAAGTCATTAGTCCTATTTCCAATTCCTTATTCTCCCCAATCCCATCAGCTCTCAGTGTCATTTTGAATTTCAGCATTCTGTTACATAAACGGTGCTGAAATGGTCACTTTCAGTGTACTTTACACTGGCAACTAAAATATTTTAAAACTTTGTATCACAGCTATAATGTTTCCCAACCTAAATTTCCCGTTTAAAACTTCCTACTTGAAGAATAAAATAATGCTTTTCCCCAGCTTAAAAATAAAATACATCTTTTTAAACAAGCTGTCTGAGATCCCAAATAATTATGAACACATAGGTAGCCAACTGGAACAAGCATACTTTAAGCCCAAAATACCATCAAACCACTGAGCCCATCCGTGTCAAGTCTGAAGTGTACAATCTCCAGTGGTTTAGGCTCCTTTTGCATTAGTTGATAACATCAACTACAATCAAAATCTTTATATCTTGCTATTACAATCAATTCAAACAAATTTGATGTTTCTTGGACTGCATTCACCAAAGACAGGATTAGGACTAAGTGATTTTATCAACTGCAATGCTCTGCAAAGAGCTAGTCTGCCAAACCGCAAGTGCAAAGGTTGTGCAAACTTTTGTTAAGCTGTGAGACAGAAAACTTCAGTCTCTCTTCCACAGAAATGAAGTCTCCCTCTTTTGAATGTCAATTCAACAATAACAGGTAAAACCCACACAACTGCCAACTAATGCTATTTAATATAGAGGAAATACATTTTTAGCAATGGAGGGCATTTTAAAATGTATTGACTGAAAATTTACATAAGCTGCATATGTACAGGTATATTTTGCTAGTCATTTGTGACCTCAAATAGCTTTTACATACATGGTTAAATTCTCTTTAAAAATAAAGACATAATACACTGTTCATACAATTACAGTTGAACTGCAAAGACTTAGTTCTAGCTAATTTTATACTATGTTTCTCTAGTTGGACTATAACAAAGTAAGAGAATACTCAAACACCATGCTTCAATTCCTATGAAAGCCCTCAATGTTACTCAGATTTCTAGAAAGGCAAGTAAAATATAAAAAAATACAACCCCTAATCATCATTTTCCTCATCATCAAATGAGAGAAGACTGCTATTTTTTACTTGCTTAGCTGTACTCTGAGAAGTAGTTGCTTCTCTCTTAGTTTTCTTTGTTTCTTTCATCTTCTTACTTGAACTTACATTGAAGTCCAAACACTTCTCTGATGAACGTTTGGCTGGTTTCCTGAACATAATTTTTCCATCAGCAGGCTCTGGTTCATCATCTGTAATAAAGACAGTAAAATCAGAACTCATCTGGACATGCTCACAAATATTCACAGACCTTCACTATTACCTTGAACCACTATGATCTTGAACCAAGATCAGCGAGACCCCCAAAAGAATACAACAGTCATGAAAATATACATTTTGGCCACAAAGACTGTATCTATGAATGTCCTCCATATGCACACACCTGTTCCATGGCAACCAGCCCTTTAAGACAATCCTCCTGCAGTTCCTGTTAGAAATGGATTTTCACTAACCAGAGTTCTAACTTAGAAGAGACTGTAGGAAGTAGAGCTTTTCCAACACACTCAATTCATGTCCACTTACCAAAGTGGGGAGGACAACTTCATAGGATCCTCTAATCTCACTTAAGTATTTGTAAAATTCATGACAACAAATGCACTTATTTCAGAACTATGCTATTCTATAAAGAACAAAATAGCACGTATAAAAGAAAAAGCTTTTTTTTTTTCTTCTAATATATTCTGTTCTGCTGAGACAGCTAAGATCACATGGTCATAAACTGCCCTTTTAATATCATAATAAATGAAAGTTTCAGGGTTTCTTTGTATCTGCAAAATCATCAAACTATTCCAACTCGCTAATTTTGCTCTAGAACACGCAGAGAAGCAGACAACAATCTTAAAAACAAAAGTCTCTTTCATGATTATCAGGCAGAGGGGGAAAGCTACTGCAAAGAAACAGCATCAGGGCAGTACTTCTGGAAAAGAAAGCATAACTGTAAATGAATCAGACACAAAGGCTTATGCTGCAGTAGTTTGCAATTTTTATAATGTATATGTGACAGGATGTTCAAGAGCCATAGGTTCTATGCAAAATATTTTTACTAAATTACTTCTGTGAAATTCATTATTCAACAGAAATGTGTTTGACATGATTATGTGCTTTTTAATTATAACCAATAAATATCTTTTCTCTTTAGCACAAATCCTTTCCTTGGTATATCAGCACTATGGCAGAAGACTAACATTTCAGTGTGACCCACATGGCACCGGCTGAAATTCTCTACAGTGCATACTCAAGACAATACAACTAATAAATCTAGTGTCTTAAGGGTTGTGTGTTACAAATGAAGACATCAACTTGAGTAGCAAATTTCACTTAGAATTCCTTAGGTTTCAGAGACCCTTTTTAAGAAGAAACCTAGCTTAAAAAACTAATGTGTACTTCCAGAAGGTGCACGTGGGGAAGGGGCTGGAGCACGAATCCTGAGGAGCAGCTCAGGGAGCTGGGGTTGTCCAGCCTGGAGAAACAGAGGCTCAAGGGAGACCTTATCTCTCTCTGCAACCACCTGAAAGGAGGTTGTAGCCAGGTGGGGATCAGTCTCTTCTCCCCAGTAACAAGCAACAGGACAAGAAATGGCCACTTGGGGAGGTTTAGATTGTGTATCAGGAAAAATTTCTGAGAAGGTGGAACAAGTCCAGGGAAGTGGTGGAATCACCATCCCTTGCAGCATTCAAAAAACATGTAGATCTGGCATTTAGGGACATGGGTTAGTGGCAGCATGGCAGTGCTAGGTTAATAGTTGGGACTCAATGGATCTTAGAGGTCTTTTCCAATCTTAACAGTTCCTTGATTCTATGATTCTATATTAGTTTATGAGAAAATACTCCTATGCAGAAAATAACTAACCAGATTTTGGGGAAAAATATTTCAGCCTTGGTGCATTAGAAAAGCATTACAGTTATGAGGGATTACTAGCAACAATAAACTGTAGATATGAAAAGCATACTTCTGAATGGATTCATCATGAATTCTGCACGGAAGGCTTAGGTGTTTAGATGCTGCACAAGTTCAGGAAGTGCCTACAGTAAATTTCAGGAGGGAAATATAATTATTTCTGAAAGTATATCACACTTAATGAAACAAAATGCACTACGTATCATTATTCTCAGAAGCTGGTCCTCCATTTTTGGACTCAGAAGTTTAATAGCAAATAATTCTTCTTACTAATTGTTGCATAACTACAATGTTTATTTGGAAACACAGATCTAACAAACAAGATCTAAGGCACAATACAAACCAAATTCTGGAAAAAAAAAAGTATCTATAAGAACTCCACGTACGCACAGACACAACTATCTATGTGTCAGTGTGCAAACTGCATGCAGCACCCCTACAGCTGTGGAAACAGGACAACCAGCTACTGCATAAGCATGAGCAAAAAAAACCACACCTCATTGGATGAGTGATTGCTATATTTTCTTAGAGGGGTATATTTTAAAATTTAACCCCTGAAAAGGTAATGAAAGCATATCCACAAAAGAAAACAGATAAACAGCTATGTACTCATAATCCATGGAAAAACAGAAGCCAGAAATTTCATTTTTACTCACAACTGTCCTGCTACCCACGTTGTGAACTGCACAAAATAATTCCATTTTGCCTACCAGATGGAGAAACTGATAAGTATCTTTGCAATATGAATTAAACACCTAATAAGCTAAGTGCATAAACAGCAAAGCTCAAAAACTCCACCAAAATGGCAACTAGCTCAGCTCTGACCTCCAGGGCCACAATACTATTTGCAGATCATTCTGCATCAAAGGAAATTATTTTAGCTCTTGGCCTGGTTTAACACTGTCAAAATTACATTATATGCTCAAGGACATTCCTTTCAGCAGGAAGCCCAGGCCAGCTTCAGAGAGCTATGTGAGTTGGCAGTGCTTGACAAAGAATGAAGCAGATAAAACACAGTAGGCCTGGCCTTACCTTAGCAACACGTGGAAAGAGGGAGAAAGATAGGCTACACTTTTTGAAAGAATTTGATGTAGCAGTTCAAGAAATTTGTGTTGATTTGTTAAGATTGTCTTTTCCAGCTGGTAAAAGAACTTCACTTTATTCTGTCTGATTTTACCAGGCTCTTATGTGTTAGCTATCTTTTTGTTTTGCATCAGTGACCTGCAAAAAACCTGACCTGTATTAAGCAATGCAAAAAAAAGACTGAAGAAACAATCTCAGTGTTTGTACCTTTTAAAAAAGAGGCCTGATAAAAGACTGTTTCAGCATTACAAATTATGAGAAGCAGGATTTCTGATAAACACACAGAAATACACAAAGTCAAACACATAAAAGCATTGCAGGAGAAATAATAAAATCCAGTTCTAATAAATGAGTCAAAAAATACACTAGCAGTTCAAATTCTGACTGTTCTTAGTCCTTGCTGCTTTTACCTGGATCACAAACTGGTTGACCAAGAGAAGCACAGTCAGAGGTTAAGCTGAAAACTCACTTCACGAGTGACAACAATTTAAGAAGCCATGAAGTCACAAAATATTTTCTTCTTTTTTAATTGGAAGCTATATATTACAAGAGAAGGAGAAATGAGGGTCTGAAAAAGAGGCACTACTCTTCAGTTTACAGTACTTTTTATTTAGTAGTTATTTGTGCAGTCAGCAATACCATTTTTCAGCAGTTTCTGTCCACATGGGTCAATGAGGCAACAACAGGAAACACAAATGCCACTAAACTGTCAGGAACAACAGGAGGAGCAGCACAAACCATGTATGTCTCCTCACAGATAGAAGGTTGGGAAAAAAAATATGACAGCCTGGTACATTGCTTAATGGTTTCTAAGGTTGAAAGTTCAGGTCAGCCATTTCAGATGCTCCTTCTAGTGCTTCCTGGCCACCCGTTCTCTCTCTACACATGCCTTTGGAAGCATTTACTACAGGAATTTGGCACACTGGTGGTATGAAGATAATAAAAAGGCCAGTCTTGCTCTGGTAGTCAGTCTCAATTGTTTATGAGAACACTTGGGAAAGTTTTTGTTACTTAAATACCATAAAATGAGCCTTGATTTAGGTTCCTGCTATTTCACATGATGCAGAGTAGCATGAACACTGTGGTATGCATCTGATATAACAGCTGCTTAATCAGAACAGCTTGTGCTGAATCAGAAAGAGCTCTGATACCCAAGACACCACAGTCTGTATTCTCCCTGCCTCTCCCCTCTCTTGTTGTCCTCCCCTAGCACCAACACACAGAATGAAACAAGAGTAATATTACAAGGCTTTGAACAAGGACATTTTTGCCAAATTTGGTCCTTTGCATGTATCAGAGTGTCCAAGAGGCCAGAGGAACTAGAAAAGCAGTAGAAAAAAAATCAATTTCATAAGCTGCAATGAATGCTAGGATAAACTATCTTGCACTAATTGACATATTTTCTTTTGTGAAAATTTAATTTCTCATAAGACTGCTTTTCTTTGTCTCTGAACCAACAGCAACAATTTATAAAATTATGCATAAAACATAAAGTAAAATTACTGTTGATAAACAGACAACTTCTTTTTAAAAAGCCTCTGAGTCTGTGCTCCATGGAGAAAAATATTTCAATACCGAAGGGTGTCTTCTCATATAGGAAAGGTTCAGCCCTAAAAAAAAAATCCCTGTGACTATACTTCAAAAGCCAACAGAAAAACTTCACTAGACTTTTGTTCTGCCTTAGAAGGCAACTAAGTGCAGCTTGGACATTAATCAACTGGTTTTACCAAATTAATGCAGAAGTGTTATTCATCTGTAAAAGAAAACGCAAGTCATGGGAACCACTGGTGTCTGAAATAAAAAGTGCAGCCATGAGCCATGTCAAAATGGTTATAGAAGAAAATGAAGGAGAAAGGATGTAAATGAGATACAGAAAATCCTAGAATAATATCCCAGTACAAAGCCTGAAGACAAGGTCCTTCAGATGAAGACAACCACTACAGATAAAAAAGAAAAGAGAGCAGAACCTCAAAACTGAGTACTTTCAGTGTTTTGAAAGACTAACAATTTGTATTCATAACAGATAGTTAGTTAGTAGCACATTTCTTAGGATCTACCAAGGTGCCTCAGCATTGATGCATGATGGAAAGGAAGATTATCAGTTAAGAAATTTACTTCCCTATTACCATTTCAGCTTCATGTAATTTCACCAATGATCTGATTTGGGGCTATATATTACGGTCTAGGAGACATTACATTAATTTCATTTTCAACTCTGGGATAAAAATCAAAGTAATATGAAATGCAATCAAATCATGCGGCACCAAACTTTCTTTATACTTCTCATTTTCAGAATTGACAGCCAAAAAAATAAAAGAAATTCACACATTACTCAAAACTCTCTTTATTAAACTGGAAAAAACCAGCTGTCTAAATACCTGCCTTCAGGTAGAAATCAGAATTTAAATCTAGAGGTCAGACTGACAGTGAAAAATTGGCCCAAGACTCAAAAAAGCCTTCGGGAAGCTGTAGCAGAGTCACCCACACCTTCCTTCACTGAAAATTTCACACCAGGTCCTCTCCATAGCAGAGCAACATAGTAGCACTTATCCTGTTTATTCCCATAAGCCATAAAAAAGTAAGGAGGCCAAGACCTCGTATTAACAGCAAAAGCAGATGAATGACTAGGAACACAATAACGTAGAACAGAGGGCAGCAGTCTCCAACACTCCTGCTACCTACTACTATGGATTTTTTCCTCCAAATGCAAGTTATTACTGAAGGGTTGAAGGGGTAATAAGCAGAGGTGCCACAGGCCTATAGGGACTCAATACTACCATCCTCACTACACATAATTATGTCTTAGGAATGCCTTTTTCCACCAAATAACTTCAGACACTCTATTCAAATACACTTCCATTTCATATTGTGTATTCAGGTTGGCAGCTCCTTTGGACTTTTTTCACAGCATGGACTCCACCTCAATAGATTCTCATGGACAACTACTTCTTTTTGCCCAGCCTTACAAAATCGTTTTTCCTCCAACTGTGATCATTCAAAGTTCAAGTTGCTTATATGAAAAGGAAACCAATTCTCAGAAAGAACCATTCCACTTCTTTCCAATAGGTTGACATTTCTCCCAATACTAGGAGGGTGAAAAGAAATCGTGTGACAACTTTACAAACTGCAACACAAGCACCTCTATGCACTACACTTCAGTAACAAGAGACCAGGAAGGAAGCCTGAAGCCAAACATATATTCTCAGAGCAGTTCAAATCACATAAACACAGCCCATAGTTCACTGTCTGGTTAGGCCTAACATTTAGATATACACATCTACCTGCTGAAAAAAATCAGATGCAGTTTTATTTGGTTTCAAGCTAACCTACATTATTAAAATATAAGATTTTTCATCAATCTGCTTTTCAAAAAATGTAAGATTCTCAATGTAATCTCTCCCACTACTGTTATTTGAATTCTTCATTTATACCATTTAAATCTTAACACATGCTTCTACATAGTGACAGCATAAACCTGAATTTTCAAATCCAAATGGCAGAAAAAGAGAGAAGCTAAGGATGTCATATTGATAGTTTGTGCTAGGCCTCTCAGTGTGCTCTAAATTCAATTTACAGCTTTTGCAAATAGCCACAATGGCTAACCACAGGAGAGGTCTACAGTTTCTATGAATCATCCTTTTTTTAATACTTGTTAGGTTCCAGTCCTATATTCTTAATTGCCAAGACATTTCCAGTAAAGACAGTAATAGCCACATTCAATCTGTCAAGTCTTCTGTCAGCAAAAAATAAAGCTACATTTCATCACACCCTGTGTGATGATTGAAGTTTCTGGACACTCAAAGGACTTATGTCAACCCTATCTGAATGATGAATACTGCCAGAAATTCTTAACATAACTGTATTCATCAGCTGTAGTTTCACACATGGACAAACTGCAGCAACCCCTCTAACACCTCTTCCATCTTTCCTTTCTGTCTAATTCTTTGTAGAAAAGAAAAATTTTTTTCTGTACCTTGCACTATTTTATCATCTGTTCAGTTTTGCTTAATATATTTGCAAGTCACAACACATACTGGGGTTGATTAATAACAAGTAATAATATGGACCAGTCAGCGAAGTGAACACGTTCCCAAACATACACATCTGCCATTCTTTCCACTGAAGCACTGACTTGAGATTCCTCCTTCTGCCCATACACTCTCTTTCATGAACTCAGACAATTATCTTTAGGACATCCACTCCACTGTCAAATCTGGTTGAGCAAATTAATGAGTTCAAAAATTATCACAGGTGATGTCAGAAGACTGTGTACCAGGACAATGACATGCGATAACAACAACAACAAAAATAATTTAGGGTGGTATTTGGAGGTAGGATGTTGCACAATCAAGAAGCACAGAACTGCAATATTATTAAAAGCCAGACAGCTTGAACATATGTACTCAATGACTTGAGATTAGGAATCACAAGTGCAAATTATTTAGCTGAAAAATTTAGAACAACTAATCAAAGGTAATATTAAACAGTAGAAAACTGAGCAAATATCGTGTTCCCTTTCATGGGTTATATCTCTTTGACTACACAAAGCAAGAAGTTAGTAGTTTGAAACTCACCTGATTCATTTGACTTTAAGGCCTCTTTGATTTGCTGTTTAATTTTCATTGCTTCTTCAGCAGTCAAGTCTCCTTTCTTCAGTGTTACCACTTGAGGCTGCTCATCTTCCTTGTCACTGCCATTGTCACTATCATCATCTGCAAGGGGAAGCTGCTCTCTCTAGGAAAGGGAAATAAAAGCAATTCTGATCACCACTCCACATCACAACCGCTAAGGGTGGCCCTGTTCTCTTTGGCCTCACTTTTGCAGAAAGGTTAGTGGGGAGACTCTCGTGCCAGGCCCTCCCAACTCACGTTGTCCAAATGGCACTCCAATTCCATCACTGAGACATAGCATCCCATTGAAAAAAAGCAGCATGGCAGCATGGGCTCCTTCAATTAAAGACCAAAGGAACTTGGAAGGTAAGAAATGCCTTTTGTTCATTATCATCCCTGTACAAGCACTGTCTGCCACACAACACTAAGGAAATCTTAAATGCAGGGGTCCCTTTGAACCTTCTGAGCTGTGCTCCAAACAGCACAAAGGGAAATGTGGGACCATGGTGGCTGGGCTATCAAAGCTGCCTATGCAAGTCACTGCAAGCAGCACTGACACAAGGAAGATCATGCTCCTGTTTCCATTCTCTCAAACTTGTGCTCTGAGACAGAATCATTTGGGATAAAATTTTATAAAAACAAACTTTCTGTCTTGGAAACCTCAGTGCAACAAACCTAAAGTTTGGCAATATAAGAGGAAATGAAAACTTCATTTTATAAGGAAGAATAGACAGTATTACCGTAACCTACTGAATTTACTAAGAGACAGACAAAACACAATCTTTCTAGTGAAGTGAAACAGTTTGTAGTAAATTTATTAAAGGCATACTTTTTATCTGATATTCTAGCTCATAATTAACCTTTTTTAATAAATCATTGTGACTATTACTTTACTGATCAGCCTGGAGAGGTTAGGTGATAAGGGCCTCTTCAGTTCAAGATCCAAAATATACTAGAGTTGAAGCTTAAAAGGCAATACAGGTAAATGGAATCAGTGGTGAAAGTCAATACGCTGACTCCTTGTAATAAAAGCTATTTTCAAAAGCAACTTGTACATCCACTGTGGCACAAACACAATTCAAATCCAGGCCATGACAATGGGCCACTGGGAAGGGGGCTTTTCTCACTAGGTTAGTTTTGGCTACATACAGCTCAGGGTGGGATCATCCAAACATTTGTGCAAGTACAACTAGGTAAAAACAGAACTCCACAAACAGCACTTCCATAGCTTAAGTTTAAATTTCTTTAGTCATCAAAGAAAAACAACTTTACATGTGCTATACTACCAGAATGATGGGCTAATTTCTTAAGGCATCCTGTAAAATCCAGGAGGGAAACACATGCAAAAAGCACCTTGGAAACAGAAGAAAAATGTGCCTCAGAAAGGTTGCCTTTTAACAAGCTGGGTCAAACTCTGTTGCCCCTACCATGCCTTCCTGGCCATCACACCACAGTTTGTGACCATTAACCTATGTTTGGGCTGAAAAGGAAATTAAAGATCATCCAGTTCCAACACCCTGCCATGGGTAGGGATACCTTCCACTAGACCAGACTGATCAAAGCCCCATCCAGCCCGGCCTTAAGCACTTCCGGGGATGGGGTATCCAGAGCTTGTCTGGGCAACCTGTTCCACTGTCTCACCCTCCTCACAGTGAAGAATCTTCCCCGTATATCTAATCTAAACCTCCCCTCTTTCAGTTTGAACTCA